GACCCGATACGAAACCAACAATCCATTGCATTAATACTAGACCGAGATTGTTCTCATATGCTAGAGGTCACATCGAGTTCATTAATAGAGTGGTGCACGTATCAAGCCATTCGTGCATACTCCCAAGCCCACAGCTAAGACCAGGACTCACCTTGGCTTTGTTCTTCTCAAAGAAGAATCGCAGACGATCATCCTCCAGGGCAGCAGCATACATACTTTCGCACAACCTCGCAACAGCTGAGGGAGGAAATATAGTAATAACACCCACAGGCCCTTGGATGATTACTTACTCACTTCCCCTCCGATTCGCTCGTAAAGAGGCTTCTTATGAGCATCTTTGATCATCTGCTTCACATCAAATTGTCTGTTCACGTCTGAGACCACCTCCTGAGAAAGGGCAAGCATATGAGCCATGTGGTCCCACAAGGAGGTACCAGTCGAGTCGTCTCCATCAGCACAGTGCATTCATCTATCGTATCACTGTCACACCTGAGGGCTCCATAAGAGGTCGTTTGAGAGGTAGTCGAGCCAACCCTAGAGCTGCAAGGGCCTTGTGGGCGTTGTCCAGGAAGGCATCGAATTGCCAGTCTTGAATGAGGAGGGTCTGATGGATCCTTCGCAGCTCACGACCGGTGTACCTACATTCACCATGGTCGCGTCCTATATAAGAGTAGTGAGTTAACCCTCACTCGACAGCTCCCCCGAGCAGCTGCTGCATGTACACCGTCTGGGCCGCCTTCACTGCCTCAAGTTTACTGCCTTGGAAGAACATCTTGATACGCTCATCAACAAGGCATATACTGTATCTTTCAAGTGGATGAATAATGAAAATTGAGGAGGCCCTCTCAGCGGAACCGTGACGCCCCCCCCAACGTTGAATATAGTCGTCACCAAAATACGACAATGTCAGCAGTGATTTCCGCGAGGATCGAGGCAGCCTTACAGCTCGTCCACGAATCGAGCAATTCCACTATCGGCTCCTAAAGTCTTGTAAAGACCATCGGTGCCTGAGTAATAGCATATACATAGTAGAGTCACTGCATAGGTATCTAGATGAGGAGGCTATCACTTACCAGCGGATTCAGTCTTCCTACGAGCAATCTCCAACCTACTGGTGGCACCGGCCGTGATGTCTCCCCTCAACTGAGAGAATCATCACAGCAATACTCTCTATTCATCACATCATACAGGGCAGAAGCAACAGAAAGGTGATGGGAATCAGCAGCGCGGTCACTCATGCACCATACCATACTCACATGGTTCACGACTCCTAATACGTCCTCTCTAACATCGTGCTCAACCTCCATTAGTTCCATCGAGGTTGAGAGATTCTCCACAAGAGCATCAAATTGATGATCTCCGATATTCATAGGATAATGCACAGCTCGCACTATATTGATATCGATCCTAGTAAGACACGAGAGAGGCCAACGACGAACCAGCCGTGACCAGCTCACGTCGATCGATCCCCGATGGCTCCACAGAGGAACTCAGTGACCTTCCGCTTCACTGTTGCCAATTTGTCTTTGTCCATAAAAAAGAAGAACTTTATTCGAGGATCGCGTTCCGCGCCGAAATACCTAAGAACGACACGAGCAATGCAAATGCTCCAAGCAGTGCTGCCTCGCGTACATAGTCTCGACAACAGCCTCGACGTTCATCTCCCCTCCAATGCGCTCGAGGATCTGATCAAGTTTTCAGAAGGTCTGAGAACGAAAGCCTCAGAGCCTCACTGTCTTCCCATCCACCAGCTTCTGCGTATCCTTCTTGTTGTGGCCTTGAACGACGTATTTCCGTTGCTCTTCCATCATCGAAATGAAGATATCATGCAACTCCTCGCTCACATTCAAACCTAGGTCGACTAGGTCTCCCTGATTGAGTCGACTTACTCACTGTGCAGTGCCCGGTCAGCGTCCATGATAAAACAGTCAAAGAGGTAGTCGTTGATCTTCAAACCCTCATGGATCTCCGACATACTTCTGCTGCCCTCGAACATCCTAGGGCCTCCCAGAAGCTCACACATATACCTGCCAACAGGACACTTTACATGACAAGAAGTTGCCTCAAGAATCACTCACAGTGTTTGCTGTTCTTTTAGTGCGTCCATATCCCTACCTTTAAAGAAGTTCCGAAGCCGGTCATCTACCTGAACGATGTCGTATCTACAGAAATACAACCATCGACGTGACAGTGCCAGCAAAGGCGCGCACGTTCGATTCATGATCCTCGCTATCCCCGCACTTTCCCCCAGGCTGAGGAACGTCTCGTCCCTTCGCTGCTCGGCCGCCTTTCGAGCCATCGACATCCTCACCGTGCCTACACCAACGACCACACTCCTCCATCATCATGGCTACACCAGCCGGCCTACTCCCTGTCGTTATATACTTTCTTATCCTCCCCAGGAGCTGAATGAACTCCGCAATAGCCTCCGGGTGAGCACCCATCTCCAACAAGGCCGCATTGAAGTGCTCAAGCATCGCATCGAAATGGAAGTCCAGGATGTTCATATGGTAGTGGACCTAAATCGTCTCAACCATCGGTCCCCAGTTGGAGTCTTCCGCACCGGTTTAAGATCCTCCTCTGCATAGTTAGCAGGGCCCCCCGTATAGCTCAATACGAAGGTCTGCATGCGCTCTCTAATCTGCCCCATCTTCTTCTGAGCCTTCTCGAAGTGAGCCCGAGTAC